AAGAAAACCAGCAAATATTTACATTTGAGAAGCTCGAACCAGATTGAAAAGATGAATCCATTATCAAATATTAACTTCCTGTTGATCAACTAATCAACTCTACAGTTATAATAATGATTTTAGTATAAACAGCATACAGTCTGCACGTGGGACTCCAAACAATGAGGAAGCAAAACCGATGTCAACAGAACCAAAGAGGTAGAGCATGCAGTATTGTTATAGAACAGACTCCACCCTGGATGTGGAGGCTGCCCCACCTTACAGCACTAACAGGATGTGAACACTCTTCCTGCACTTCTCTCAGCTCTAAATCCTAAATGGACTCTCCTCTCCTCTAATGGCTCCCTGTTTGATTTAATTCAAGAGGCCATAATGCGTTAGGGACGATGAGGAGTGAACAATACTGGGCGCTAAATGTCACTGTGCACAGTGAAATCTAACGGACAGGATTCTCTGTCAGCGGAGGTCAAGTGTCTCTGAGCTGCAGCCTCAGTAATAACACACACATACACTCCACGTCTGAGGACGAGACAATCCGCCATCACACGTCTTTAGATTAAGACTTAATTCATTAATGAGCACCGGCACCCCCCCCCCCCCCTGCAGCCTCAGTAATAACACACACATACACTCCACGTCTGAGGACGAGACAATCCGCCATCACACGTCTTTAGATTAAGACTTAATTCATTAATGAGCACCGGCACCCCCCCCCCCCCCCCCCCCCCCCCCCCCTTAACTCAGCGCCACAGTAGGAGGTCCATGAATATTTAAATTAAAGGAAGTCTACATGAATTAAAACCCGAGTGTGTACCGACGCCGTTATTATTAGAGCTGGAGCATGCTGGGACATTTTCATCAGCCATCAATCATTTTCTGTGTGACTGTTACAGTGTCTGTCTTGCGTCCTTGTTACATCTGGAGAACCCCTACTGCAGGTCGTTATCTTTCTCTCAGTAACACACACACACACTTTACGTCCCACTGTTCTGTTCGGGTCATTTATTTTGTAAAAAAACCTGGCAGGTAACAGCAGCCCCAAGGGCCGGGGGCAGGTGTGTGTGTGTGTGTGTGTGTGTGTGTGTGTGTGTACTTGTACATGCTACATAGTGGGGACCAAAATACAAAATTTAGGAACAGAGTGAGGACGTTTTGGCTGCTCCTTCTTCAAAGATTTGTTTGAGGGTTAAGACTTGATTTTAGGGCTCAGGTTACAAATAGGTTTAGGCCAGGGTGACGGGTTGGGGTTAGGGAATGCATTATGTCAATGTGTGTCCTCACAAAGACAAAAACAAGAATGTGTGCGTGTTTAATCCTCTTTTCCACCAAAATTAGCGTGTTTCAAATTCCGCGAAAGCCCGCTAAAAATAGGAGATAGACTGCTTTCCCTTTCCCAGTAGACTAGATCCATGCACACACCTCTTCTTCTGTTGTTTTTTTGTTTGTTTTTTTAAGTTTGGTGCGGACTAAATTAGAATGATGTTCGAGTGCTGCTTGGGCAGAGACAGACCGTATTTTGTGGTGGTGTGTCGCTGCATCTTACTCGTAAAGGAGCTCATATCAATGTGTTTATCCAGGTGTTGTGTTTCCGTCACATCCGATTGGAGCTTGAATCAGTAAATGCCCGTGACTACTGCAAAAGCATTTGCCCTGGGACTGAATGCCAATTGTCACCTCTTCCCATTAAAGACAAAAGCCAGATGTGTGCGGGTGTTTGCAGGTTTGTGTGCAGTGAAAAAGGGGTTTTAGTGACCATGACTCAGGGCAGATGTGTGTGTGTGTTTGAGTCAAGACTCGTAATAGACATCAACAGCACAAGAGAGAGGCGAGGATCTGACAACAATAGGAGCTGAAATGGGGGTCATGTACGTTTCCTGTCTTTCTGAGTGTGTGTGAGTGTGTGTGTGAGAAAGAAAGAGAGAGTGTGTGCTGGGGACAGGTTGCGTAATTATTAGATGTAGGAGGGGGTCTACATTAGCCAGCTGTCACTCCTTGCCCCTCACCCCGTGTTAGTGTGTGTGTGTGTGTGTGTGTGTGTGTGTGTGTTTGCATCTGTTAGTGTGTGTGTGTGTTAGTGTGTGTGTTTTAAGAGCAACCCTGGCGGAGGACTCCAGGCGGTTACATCCAGAGATTGATAAGTTATGACACCTACTGTAACCTCCTCTGCCCTTGTTGTCGGTTCTTATTTCAAGGACTCCAGCTGCTGTCAGTACAGTCGGTCTGAACCTGCAGGTGGACGTTTACATCTCTTATTTTCATAAGCTCCCATAGTTGTTTTAAACTTGCTAACTGGATCTTAGGGCCCTCAAAAACCAGTCAACTGTTGGTTGATGTTGAGCTGTTATGGTGAGCATCTGTCACTTTAGTTTTGCGGCGCATCCTGCACCATTGGCCCTCCCTTGTCAGCTTTTTTTTTTTTTTTTTTTTTTAAATTTTTGGATGATGATGACGGTGGAGCCTGTCAGTGAATGAAATCACTCTGATTGGCAGTTCAGCTCAGCACATGAGGAGAGAAACAGAAGTGAGGAAAGTAAACAAAGAGCTAAAGTCAAGAGGGAGTCAGACCAAAACAAACTTGTTATATAATAAGTTAAAAAGATTGTGTTTTTCTCCATTGAGCTTTTCAGCAGAAACAGGTCAGAATTGTTTTTGTTGATGTTCACTGGTGCATGGTAAATATTATTTGTTCTTTCAACACTGGATTGTGTTGTTAATGTGCTAACTGGCTAACTAGCATCGACACAGTTTTCCGATTTCCCTTTTTGAATAATGAGTACAGATGACTGCCGTCTGCTGGTGTGAGTTGTTTCCTCTCACGCAGGTGCAGACCGTTGGTTGGCCGTCAGCTGTAGTCTGCGGTGTGTTCAAGTGGAACTTTTAATAATCTCACTTTGAAGGAACAGTGTAGTCCAGCTGGGAGGACTGCAGATTGCAACCAGCTGAAACTTCTCCCAGTTAGAATTCCTTCAGTGTTCATTGTTCAGGAAGTTTTTACCAGGAGCTGAATTATCCACAGAGGTCTCTTCCTCTCCAAATCAAACAGACCAGGTGATTTAAACCGGTCAACAAAAAAAAAAAACACTGAATAAAGCAGTTTCACGTTGTTAATATTACATATTTTTTCTCTGGTAACTTAATTAAGATCCAGACGTTCAGGAAGTTTTTACCAGGAGCCGATTTATCAGCAGATATCTCTTTCAGCCAGCTTTTAACTGTGGTGACCAATGCATAAATGCGAATACAGAAATGTCTCTATCTAGAGCCAGTGTTTGGTTTGTCCGTTCTGGGCTACTGTAGAAACATGGTGGTGCAACATGGCAATGTCTGTAGACAAGGACCTGCTGCCTATGTAGATATAAACTGCTCATTCAAAGGTAACAAAAACACAAACATTCCTTTTTTTCAGGTGATTATACACTGCAGAAAACAAAGTTGTTTGGGGCAGCTGTGGCTCAGAGGAAGAGCGGGTTTTCCATTAATGGGAAGATTGGCGGCTCAATTTCCGGCTCCTCCGGTCCGCATGTTGAAGCATCCTCAAGCAAGATACTGAACCCCAAACTGATCCCGATGGTTGTTCTATCGGTGTGTGGGTGCATGTGAATGGTTACTGAGTAGAAGGTGGCACCCTGTGTGGTAGCCTCGGCCACCAGTGTGAGTGGGTGAATGTGACGTAGTGTAAAAGCGCGTTGAACGGTTGAAAGACAAGAAGAGCGCTGTACAAGTGATGTGAATTTACCATGATATTTCATTTCTGCCTGTATATCCCCCTAAATCCTCAGCACTGGACCTCTAACCAAAGGAAACAAGTCTTCTCTTCAAGTCACAGCTGACCTCTTAAATATTCAACTGAGCTGTCTTTTTCTGACCTAATGAAAGGGAAAGCCTTTCACTGTTGCCCTAACCCTGACCACACACAGGTCCTACACTTTGTGCATCCACCGTCATCTACGTTTACCACCTATGACCAGCACCAGTTGACCAGTAGCACTTCCTTCACCAGAAAAAAACATTGCAGGGAGGGACAGGGTTGGTTTAGAGAACTCCAGCAGAGGAAAAGGAACATTGTTTTGGCTTTGCTTGTTTGTTCTTTCAGGGATCACCTTGAATTAATCTAATACCTGTCTTATTTAATGAAAGTCTTCCCATAAATGGCGCCGCAGCCTGATATCAAAGGCTTAGGAAAGCCAGTTGGTTATTTTAAGAGCAACTGCGAGTTTTTAAAAGTGCAGAGCGGATTTTAAAAAGGATTTCACAAGCTTTAAGATCAGCCCACGGAGGAGCATGTAATCCCTCACTTCAAGTAAAAGCAAGAAAATGACCAAACTTGGAGCTGTGAGGTTTTGGCCTGCGTGTTGGAGGCAGCAGCGATATAAAGGAACAAAGGGGGTAGGCCTCTTCCATCTGTGTCTGCTCCTACCCCCGCCCTGACACTCCTGCTGTCACGGGTCAGTGTTCAGTCAGCAGCCAGGGACAAAAGGGAAGATGTTTAGATGAATGGAAATGCAGTCGATGTGGCAGAAACACACACACGCTCAAAATCTCTCTTTGTAATGTCATTAGTGGAGAAGATGTTTCCTGCTGCTTTGATCTGATCTTCTGTCTTTATCAGGATGACCTAATGCCTTACACACACACACACACACACACACACACACACACACACACACACACACAGGCGGCTCTAAAATTAGAAACATGTTGAGATTCAAACTGTGTTTAAATGTTAAAATTAATTTAAACATCCCACACACTCTCATGCCCCGGAGTTAATTGTGAATTTTTAATTTGTAGGTCAACATTAAGTCAAATTTTCCTCCTGGAGTAAATTAATATTTGTCTTATTCTGGGATGATTTATGTTTGATGAAATTAATGATGTCTTTCTTCTCTTCTCTGTCTCTGTCCTGTGTGCCCTCCCTTCCTCCCCCTTCATCCCTCCTTTGTTCTCGGGGTCAATCCTCCCTCTCCTCTCCCTCCTTCTTCTTCGTCTCCCCTCCACAGTCGGCAGCAGGAGCACGGAGCGTGGGCCTGGCAGAGAGGGAGCCTCAATCAGAGCCTCACTTCAGACTGTGAAAGCCACACACACACCCCGACTTAAAACACAGTTGTTTACCCGTCTCCACTCTCCAGAGGGTCTGGGAGCTCCCTGAAGTGTGTGTGTCTGGTTGGGTGCATAGGGTGGGAGGGTGTGTGTTTTTTTTATTTGTTAATGAGTGTGTGGGTGTCTCGCGTCACTTTTCATGGGACATTGAGAGATGTGTGTGTCACAGCATCGGTGGACGGGCTATAGGGGGCCGTGCTCCCCCGCCCTCCCCCTGATCCTCCTCCTCCTCCTCCCTCTGTCCTTCCTCTCCTCCATGCCTCCGTTCGCTCAGGGAGCCATCCACATCCCCAAAGACTGTGAGTACTCCTCCTCCGACAACATCTCTCACTGTCAAAGAGTGTGTCTGTCCTGGAAGTGTTTTTCCCCACTCTGTATTTCCCTTTCAAATGTTTCTGTCAACAATATCCTCTGTGGTAATTAATATAAAAACACAGGACTCTCCACCCCTCCACTCACATAAAGAAAATGTCAGCATTATATTTTTCTGCAAACCACAGATATGTTACATGAAACCTAAGCAAGATGGCTCCTAAGCAGACCAATGTTCAAAACCAACAAAGGCGGGTAATTTTTAATGAGAGGTCGGGACATTTCCAGTGATGTTACCAGCAACAAAAGCAGGTATGCTTTAGCAAATGTTTGGGACATTTCCAGCCGTGTGAGTAGCGACAAAAGCGGGTATTTTTTAACGAGAGGTTGGGACATTTCCAGTGATGTTACCGGCAACAAAAGCAGGTATGCTTTAGCAAATGTTTGGGACATTTCCAGCCGTGTGAGTAGCGACAAAAGCGGGTATTTTTTAACGAGAGGTTGGGACATTTCCAGTGATGTTACCGGCAACAAAAGCAGGGATGCTTTAACAAATGTTTGGGACATTTCAGCTGTGTTTGTTGCTATAGAAGCCGGTATTTTGTAGCAAAAGTTTGGGACATTTCCAACAGTGTTAATAGCGACAAAAGCAGGTATTTTTTAAACAAGAATTTGGGACATTTCCATGTTAGTAGCAACAAGAGAGGGTTTTTTTTATTTTTTATGAGAGTTTGAGACATTTCCAGCCATGTTTGCAGTGACAAAAGCAGCTATTTTTTAACGAGAGGTCGGGGCATTTCCAGTGATGTTACCAGCAACAAAAGCAGGTATGCTTTAGCAAATGTTTGGGACATTTCCAGCCGTGTGAGTAGCGACAAAAGTGGGTATTTTTTTTATCAAGACTTAAGACTTTGGGACATTTCAGCTGTGTTTGTTGCTATAGAAGCCGGTATTTTGTTGCAAAAGTTTGAGACATTTCCAACAGTGTTAATAGCGACAAAACCGGGTATTTTTTAAACAAGAATTTGGGACATTTCCATGTTAGCAGCAACAAGAGAGTTTTTTTTTATTTTTTTATTTTTTGTTTTTTTATGAGAGTTTGAGACATTTCCAGCCATGTTTGCAGCGACAAAAGCAGGTATTTTTTAATGAGAGGTCGGGGCATTTCCAGTGATGTTACCAGCAACAAAAGCAGGTATGCTTTAGCAAATGTTTGGGACATTGCCGGCCGTGTGAGTAGCGACAAAAGTGGGTATTTTTTTATCAAGAGTTTAGGACATTTCAGCTGTGTTTGTTGCTACAAAAGCTGGTATTTTGTAGTGGAAGTTTGGGACATTTCCAACAGTGTTAATAGCGACAAAACTAGGTATTTTTTAAACAAGAATTTGGGAGTTTTCCATGTTAGTAGCAACAAGAGAGGTTTTTTTTCTTTATGAGAGTTTGAGACATTTCCAGCCATGTTTGCAGCGACAAAAGCAGCTATTTTTTAACGAGAGGTCGGGGCATTTCCAGCTGTGTTAGTAGCAAAAACTAGTATTTTCTAACAAGTGTTTAGAGGTATTTTTAATGTTAGTTGTGGACATTTCCAGCCATGTCCGTAGCAACAAAAGCAGGTATGCTTTAGCAAATGTTTGGGACATTTCCAACAGTGTTAATAGCAGCAAAACTGGGTATTTTTTAAACAAGAATTTGGGACATTTCCATGTTAGTAGCACCAAGAGAGATTTTTTTTTTTTCTGAGAGTTTGAGACATTTCCAGCCATGTTTGCAGCGACAAAAGCAGGTATGCTTTAGCAAATGTTTGGGGGCATTTCCAGCGATGTTAGTGGTGACAAGATGGGGTATTTTTTTTACCTAGAGTTTGGGACATTTTCAGCTGTGTATGTTGCGGCCAAATGAGTTATTTTAAGCTAAAGCATGATGTTTTCATGACATTAACCACGTTTTTTGTGCTTAAAACTAACCACAGCATTGCCACAACATAAAATTAAAATGCATAGTAACAAAGTTTCAACATAGTATCTAGATATGAAAGGTACAAATGTAACATGTCTATGGTTCGCAGAAAAATACAATACCAACTTTTATTCTTGTGATTGAGTTGCTCTCCCAGATAATGTAACAAACATAGAGGTTTATGTCCTGGTCACAAGTTAAGATTTATTTTAACTTCATCTCTCAGAAATACATTTAGATTTTGTCGGCCACTGTTTTTTATTAATTTCAGCATCATGAAATTAACTAGGACTTGGACAGCATTGAAACATAAAAATATGTTTCAAGCAAGTGTAAGCAAGTTAATTTTCATACTGCACTGAAATGAATAGAATCAGGAAATACTCTTTGGTAACACATGATTTTCTTCCTGCATGTCATTTTTCTGGTCTTGGTTGTTTGTCAGTTTGATCTGGTCTTTGTTTGAAACAGTTGTTGATAAATCTTGAAAATGTTCAAAGAAAAGAATGTTGCACGTGGTCTCAGCAAACACAAACTTATCATTTAAACACATTCACATAAGCACAAACACAAACACACTTATCCACACTATCAGGTTTAAAGTGACCTCTGGCCCTGGAGGTTAAGTTCAAAGGTCAGCTGGATCAGCAGTGATGGTCCCAGAGGAGGAGAGGAGGAGTCGGGTTCAGCTCGACCTTCAGCCAGTGACCTCCTCCTCTGGGCGTGGCAGAAAGAGGAAGAGACAGAGTAGAAAAGAATAAGAGAGGGATGGAGAAGAAGATGTAAATGAAAGCACAGAAGAAAGAGATGGATGAAGAAGGACAGAGAAGGTGAAGAGATGAACAGAATACAGAGAAGAAACATGGAGGGAGGGAAGGAAGGGTAGAGAAAGGGTAGAGGAGGAGACACAGAGGGGAAAGATGTAAATTGATCCGGGACGCCATCGTGTCTGAGTCAGAAAACTGAGAGGAAGGCAACTCCTGTAGACGAGGAGTCATTATAGCGTCAACATTATTTATAATCAAGAAAATGAATAAATCTGCCATCAGCATCTTCCACTAATATATTTGTGTGTGTGTGTGTGTGTGTGTGTGTGTGTGTGTGAGAGTCTACAGCCTTTTAAACTTCTGCCCTTGATTAAGTGTTTTCTCTCTGCTCTCCTTTTCTTGCTTTCGTGCGGACAAACAGATAAAGTGCATAAAAGTAAGTGACTCTCCTTGTTATGTGTGATGGCCGCTTATGTCAGCGACACTTCACCGCCACAAATCTAGATGATGGAGGCCGTCAGTCCAGTCTGCTTTATTGTCACTGCTTGTTTCAGCCGCTGACTGTTAGTCCTCCATCATCCGTCCCTGCAGCCCTGTAGCCACGCAGAGCAGACGTTGAAGACCTGTTCACCGACACTTGTCTTCGTCTTCTGTGTCAGATGAGCAACTTTTGGAGAAAATAGTTGAGACATTTCAAAGTTTGGACACAGTAGAACATTTCTCTGTCTACACTGCAAGGACAGGTAGACCCTGCAGTTAAAAATAAGTCACTGCTGTCAAAAAGAAATGAAATTTCTCCAAAATGTCTCCAGAATTGAAAAGGGTCTTATTTTAGTTTGGTCCTCGAGCATTTTCTGAGCTTTTCCATGTAGAATTTAATGATTTTTTTTACCCGCATTTTTTTTTACCTGATCCTTGGCATGTAATCCTTAGACATCTGAGTTTTATATTTTGCAGAAAATTAGTAAAGAAGATTGATGCCTCTGTAATGTCAGATATAGCTACCTGTGACAGGTGACAAAATCCGCCTTGCAGCATCTCTAAAGAAACATTTTTAACTCCTTTGTTTAATCCATGCAAAAACCGAAGAGCAAAAAAAAGTTCTGTTTCTTACTGCATGAACAGACAGAAAAAAACCTGAGTCACAGTGCTCGTTGTGGTTTTCAACAGTTTTCTAACTTTTTCACCAGGCTTTCATGTGTTCACGTCCCTCAGTCGGGCACTTAGAGCAGGATGTGGTTGCATTAGTCCATTACATGCTGTTTATTTGTTTTGTGGGTTTGACTGTAATCATAAAATATGAGCTAGAAATTAAAGATTTGAAATTAATTATTTAGGTCTGCTGACAGTCTTGTAGAAACCCAGCAAATTTCAAAGATGGAGAAATCTAGCAATGACAAACCAGATGTTTATCTAGCACGACAGTCTCAGCTCAGTGAAATATACAGTGGAGTTGAAGTCATGCTGCTAATCGATTCTTGGCATATTACCTCATGCATTGGTGCGCAAATCCAGATGGAGGGCAGGCAACTGGAGGCAAAGACTACCAACACTGCAAAAATACAAATGGATTTGCATCTATGGCTGTTCCAATCGATCACATTGGGAAAAAACAAAAGTCAATTTAAGTCCATCAAACAGTGGGATGTATAGGGGAGAGGAAAATCCTCCATCTGCAGTCTGGAGAGGCGGAGCCAACGACCATCAAATATTAGTGTTTGAGCGTTGTGTTAAACACATCTCAAGTTGGATGCAATGAGACTACTTCTCCATGTTTTTAGCCATGACCCAGAATTTTAACAGCCTTTCACCAGACCTCTGGGAAAAGTTAACAAGTTGAGTGGAAAATAGTAGCCAAAGTTAGCCAATGTTTGCCAGTAACGTTAGCCTGACAGCGGTGCCTCCACTGTGCAAAATCAAGAGACACTATTACTATTATTATTACGCAGATGACTCACCATCCAAAAACAAGACAGCAGTCATTTCAGACGTGGACCCAACTGCACAAAAAATAGTTACAGTCCACTAGACTCATGTATGCTTTCATCAGCTCGTCATGTAGTAGGTTTGAAGAACGAGTTAATTTGCAATAACAATTGTGTTCACATTGGACGAACTGGTCAAGTTTTAAATAAACTCTATAGATATACTGGATATATTGTGGTTAGTATTAGCTGAAGTAAATGGAGGAAATTAGCGAAAATTATGGATAAACATTTGACCTAATTGCTACAAGCAATGGAAAAGTGATTGAAATAAATGCTAAAGCTAATAGATAAACAGTTTAAATGGTTTGCATAAAAGTAATGGACAAACTGTTGAAACAGCTGCTAAAAGTAACAACACTCAAAGGTTTAAATAGTTAACGTTAGTAACACGTAATGCTAAATAGTCAAAATAGTTGATTGAATGAATGGATAAATGATTTAAATGGTAAGCTAAAAGTAAACAGTTGAAAACGTCAAAAGTAATGGATAAATGATTGAAACTTTAAGCCTCTACACTCCGAGTGTCAGCGGTACGAATGCAGACTAATAATACTGGTAAATAAAATATGGATCCGGTTTCAATTCAGTTAAAGACATTGGGAACATGTGGTGCTGATGAAGGAGCTCATGTGACAGGGCTGTGGGGTGAACTGTAGGCTACCGTTAGTGTACATCACTGACAACCTGTCCCCGTAATAAAGGAGAATATTTGTACACCTGTATTTTCTCGCCTGTGCTCAGTGGTAATTACTGCACCATCAGTTGTGCGTCCCAAAATATTTCATTACTATATATGTGTGTGTGTGTGCGTGTGTGTGTGTGTGTGTGTGTGTTCAGTGTTACAGCCTCCGCTCCTGACAAAGATGCCGACATCGTACACAGCCTTTTCTCTTGAGGACATCTATCTGCCATGTGAGGCCTCTGGTAACCCGACACCCACGTACGTGCAACAACTAGACCTGTGTGTCATTTACTCAGCGTGTGTGTATGTGTGTGTCTGTGTGTGTATTTGCAGTATGCAACAGAGTGGACAAATATAATGGACAAACAAGACATATGTATGTGTCTGGGTGTTTGTCCACTTCCTCCCTCTGGCCTTTCTGTTGGCATGGCGATAAATGTTCCTCTAATAAAATCACAGCAATAACAAAATCATCTCTCTCACTTTCCATTTCTCTTTGTCTTTTCCTTCCCACCCACCCACTCCTCCCTGCCTGCTCTGTCTTACCTCACTCCTGTTCTTCTCTTTCTCAAATTCACATTTCGATTTTGTTTTCTTAGAGATATTTTATATGTGTGTTACTGTTGACAAATCCCAGGAAAAGTCCTGTGCCCATTGGTTACTGCACAAATACATAGCTTTATTTTTTAAAGGCTCAGTGAAAGAATGTAATTTACATTTGTAGGTTATCTACTAACAAGTACAAGTAGTAACAACCAAATTCTCCTCTGTGCCACTGAGCTCCATTCCTGCTCTGGTACCCCTCTGGTTCTTAAACTGGTTCCTGAAGCAGGACGCTTTTCCACAGAGCAGAACCATTGTAACCTTGGGCTCTAGTTTCCCGGCGCGGCGCAGCGCGGTGCAGGGTGGCGAACCCCGTGCAGAGCTAGTTTTGAGCAGCGCAACCCGAGGCGTGCTCAGTTTGGTAGTTTGGCAGACCGAGGTGCGCTGAGATGGGTGTGGCGGCGCAGCAGGGGGAGGTGTCGACAGATCCAGCTTGGCACAGTGACAGTTTCGTGCCAAAAGGCTTCGCCAAAGGTGCACTTAAAGCTCGTCAGCTGAAACCAGGTCTACTGTCAGCACAGGGGGAGCGCAGCCGGTGTAAGCCGAAGTTTGGCTGACCGGCGGACAGTGCGCACACGTCACCAAAACCTCACAGGCAGGTTTCCAGAATATCAGGCACATTAACGATGCAATAAATACCCAAAAACCACTATTCAATGCAACTATCTGCAATCAGCACATAAATGTATCTCTATATCGACTGTCCCGTCACATCTGATGTCAGATCAAAGGGGATTGGCACCGTTTGGCACCGTTTGGCACGTTTGGCACGCGTAATGGAAACCCAAACTGATTTGATTAACACAGCTGCAAACTAATGAGTTCACATCCCTCTCAGCCAACCACAAACAGCCACAGCATCAGATAGGGAGTATATATTCAGCATCTGTCATCTTCGAAAAGTCAAAAGAAAAGAAACAGAGTGAGACTGCGAGAGAGAAAGAGAGAGAGCGCGCGCACACGAGAGAAACGCAACATTGATTTACAATTGTGGTGACCTCCTCCCAGGCTACCTTTGCATCATCAGCCCGTGGAGGTCTGCTCGCAGTTCCGTATATTCAGACACTGCGAGCTTGGACCTCCTGGACCAAAACATCAGTTTCCTCCTGGGAGAAGTTTGGCTGTCTGATGCTGCTGCTCTCTTCTGCCATGGCGAACTGAGTAAACTCTCATTACGCCTTCGCGCGGCGCATTTAAGGGCGAGGAGAGGGGCTCATCTGATGTGATGTGTGTAAAACCCACTCCATGCCTTCTCTCCTCCCTCTTTCCAACTTGCGCAGGTAGGAGGGACGGAGGTGGGAAAGAGGAGTAGCTGCGCCAGCGCGCATGGTGTGCCAAACTTGCAAAATCCACCTGGCCACACCCAGTAGGAGAAGCGCAGGTGCGCTGCGCCTCCGCCTCGCCCGGTCTGCGAAACTAGAGCCCCATGTGTCATTAAAGGAGGGCGTTAACTCTGGGTTAAAAGAGATATCACATCTCTCTGTTCGGTCACCTCCAGCGGAAAATTAAAGAGCTATCGGGACATATCAAAGACATTTGGACTAGAAAAGCAGGATTTCTACAGATACCTGAATGTAAAGTCCAGTTCAGACCAAAGATTTGTGAACTGGCCGGTCTGAGCTCGACTCAAGCCGGCTGATGGTGTCACCTGACACTCAGCTGGTCAAATGGCCGGCGGCTGGTTATAAAGCACGTCACCTGTTTCAACAGCCAATCAGCTTGTAGTGAAGTCTGCTGGTCAAGTCGAAATGACCACAGGCGGTGTGTTGGCTTGCTGCAGCAGGTGCTCCGTCCCCACCGAGCCCTCTGTTTCTGTCCTCATGGTGTGCCGGTGCTGCTGCTGGCTGTATGCGCTTACTGTAGGCCTACAGTATGTCTGTGGGAGGTTGTCTTTAAGGAATTAGCAAGCACTATAAAACAAAGCTTCTTTAAATCTTGGGGGTGGGAAAGAAACCACCAAATGATACTGTTTTTAAAAATTAAACTATATATATATTTTATAAAGATTTACGTCATCAATAGAAACAGTGGGCTGAGAGCCAAGAGCCACAGAGAGAGTAGAGTTGGAACACATGGGGTTTGTTGATGCTAAAATAAATTGAGAATAATATCCACCTGATCTTATGTTACCACCACTATGGTGGTGTGTCTGTCTCCTTGTATGTTTAATCACTTTGACTTCCTGTTGACGTGATGAAAAGCTTTCTTCTCTCCTCTGTAGTTTCCGCTGGATGAAGGATGGCAAGTTGTTCGGGTCGGAGCATAATGAGTCCGGGACGTTGTACGCCGAAGAGGAGGAGCCCCTGGAGTTGTACGAAGGCAAATACCGCTGCTTTGCCTCCAACACCCTGGGGACCGCCATGACACAAACCATACAGGTCATCGTAGAAGGTGAGTCATACACACACACACACACACACTCGCACATACTGTGTTTACAGAGAACAAGCCGCACGCAGGGTGCTGTACGTCCAGCAGGATCTTCACATGTGCTGATTCACACAGTCGATGTCAAGTGAATGAAATGTTATCAAGGATGTACAGTACGACACAAATCCCTCCTCCCATGCACACACACACACACACACACACACACACACACGCACACACTTCAGTGACTCAGTGAGGTTTACTGGGGCCACCTGTTCTGCTCTCTCATCTCTTGTTACCGTAGCAACCATTTCCCGGAGACAGAGCTGCAGCGTCACTCGGCCGGGAGGGTGCATGAGGGTTGCCAGGCACAAGGCGGTGTTGGGAAGTCAGAGTGTCACCTGACTGAGTTCAGCCTCTGATAAACACACTCTGGTTATGGCAGACGATAACAGGAAGGGACAGCAGCAGTGTGTCAGCAAACAAATATCAATGTTCAAACCTCTGTCAATATGGTGATGCTACACATCGTTAGCTTGGCTGGATTCTTTTCACACAATTCAGTTGTTGGGTTCATGTTACAGAAACCACACACACCAGTATAATTCATTTAGATATACTGGCAAACTCTTGTGTTTGACTAAATGGCAGCCGGCTGGTAGCAAACGATCTCATTATAACAGTTAAACAGGAAGCTGAAACATGTTTCTGAAAACATTTTAGATGAGAAATAGGCAGTGCAGTAACATAATCTTGATTTATATTTGATCAGTACTGCCCAGTTTTACAGTTTGATTGGATTTTGATCCGAGTTTGAGAGAGACAGAGAGAGGGGTGGGTCTGCCTCTTCATCTGACACCACTCATGTCTGTGGTGGTGGGCATTTTTCTAGCAATAGCCTGGGAGAGCCAGCTGGAAGGGGAGCAGGGAGATCTACGCCCTGGTTAGATGGAGGGCACACTACCCACATTATTATGATACAAAGCTGGTGGATAAGTGCCCCTTTAACCCATTTTGAAGCAAAAACGCTAAAATGACATACCCAAATTAAAATGACTGTAGCTTCTGAACCGCTCTGACTACATGCATGCATGAGGTCTTGCCAGAAAGAAAAAAAAGAAACTCCCTGAAGTTTCTTGTGAAAGTGTCAGAAACACTCTAGGTGATACAGAGACAGAGTAATGGGCCTCTGAAGTCAGTAAAAAACTGAAGATTTTGCCTAAAATAAAATAAAAAATGTATTTCAGGATGAATAACTGTCTGTGGCTTCATCTGAGCAGGTAAATGACACTGTGGGGCTGTAGGCACACTATCAATGAACACTTGTTTCAAATTTGAAGAAGACTGCTCAAAGTATGACCATTCTACAGTGTTTTTACCATGAAAAGATCCAGGCGGAGCTCCAAATGACAAGTCGGTCACTCTGCTTCAAAACAGTACTATCAGTGATCAAACAACACTCAGCCAGCTTCAAACATTGTACCTTATTGAAATCAGGTGTGATTATGATAGCTGATGTTGTTTATGACACAGAAACACCATAAAATATCACCAAATAAAGCCATATGAAACGTGAAAGTTATGATCCCACTTTCTAGACGGTATATCTCAGCCAAAAATAGTGGTAGGAGTGAGACTCTTACCTTTTATAAACCAGCTAAGTCCCCGCTAACAGCTCCACATAAGATCGCGAGTAATCCTTTAACTTTTCCCGTCGAAAAACGGCATGACATGACTTGTCACCACTCATCGCGATTTTGGACTTTGTGTGTTTAGGCTGCTCTGGTGCCAAATACATAATAAATAAAAGAAAAACGATGTTATTTTTGAAAAGTCGAGAGCTTCCTGAATCCGGCAATACCAAACATCACATGGTTTGATGACGTAGTGCGCCTGGGAGATACCATTTAACAGAGGAGGAGGGGAGCGAGGATGTCTGCGTCCTGGCGGAGTTAGAGAGGTTAAGTCCAAATGTGTCCATTTCTTGATCATTTATATTCCTATAAATATCCCCACCCTAACCCCCATGGGGGGAAGCCAAACTTATTCGTCTGCCCACACTGCGATGACACAGAGCTGGTTGGAAATCATCAAAGTGCTCGTTCAGGCTCAGTTACAGGATGTGAAGTGGCACAGGGCGATGAGTCACATGATGGTATCGAATAAGCTGTTTTTACTATGTGCAAAGCATCTCTCATTTCATTTCCCTACAGCTGTGAACAACCCTGCCATTGTTTGTAAGAGTTACACCCTCCTCCCCTCTGCATCATCATGCCTACCATTTCCTGTCATCAAAACTGTTACAGCAACTGCAGAGCAATAAATACAGTATATACAGTACAAAACCAATCTCTGTACAGAGGAAGGGAAAAAAACTGTAGAATAAGCTGGATGGTAACAGCCTCTGCTGGAATAAAAAACTGTGAAGCCAGGAAAAGAGCTGTGACTCACTGCAGGGTGGCTGCAGCATCCTGCTGCATCATCTACTGAACAGAGGTGTTACAGAAGAAACTGCAAATGAGCAGAGAGATAAAGGTTAGTGCTGCTGTGTTTACAGTTCAGAGGGTCATTCTGACCTCAGGGTCTTTTTAATGCGTCTGCGCTGCTGTCTGTCCGTCCATCCCATTTTTGTGAAAATATCTCAAGACCACCTAGAGGGAAATTTTTCAACTTTGAACGTAAAAGTATCGTATCGTATAGTAACATATAAATATATATAAATAAATTGTTCAAGGAGCAGCTTCTGGTGTGCGGACTTCATCTTTTATTTCATACTTAGCTTTTGGTCCAGCACCCAGCATTAAGTTCTTTGGGATGTGCGTGCTACCTTTACCTGTTAAATTTTTCAACTTTGGCACAAACGTCCACTTGGAGTCACCGCTGAACTGAAAAGAATTTGGTGGTCAAAGGTCACTGTGTCTTTACAAAACATGTTTTTGGCCATAAATCAAGAATTCTTACGCTGATTACAACAAAATTTCACACAAATGTCAAACAGGATATGACCATGAAGTGATGACATTTTATATCAGGACAGTCAAAGGTCAGCTTCACTGTGACATCATAATGTTCTGTAAACAACAGAAAAATAGTCCGAACACTGCGGCTCCCTGAAGTGCAATTTACTAGCAGTAAGGTATTTACAAAGGGCCCCAGTGCACGCTATTATGTCGTGGCCCTAGGGCACACTAGTTACTTGTCATGTGCCTAAACTAGCTACCGTATTATCTTATTGTCACATGATCACATAGAGACTTGGTAATGACAAAAATACCAACAGAAATAAGGCATTATTTATTTAACTGTATAATTTGTCATAGTTCATTATAGTTCATGCAGAGTAGGCATATAACATGTTTTGTTATAGATTCCTACTGGCTAGTTTTCTGCTCAGTATATAGTTGGAGGGCCCACTCCCTCTATGGGCCCCCTCACCCCATAGGCCCCAGTGCAACCGCCCTGCCTCCACTGTCTGTACTGTATTTACACCCCTGTCCACAAGTGATGTTTCTAGTGAGATGCTCTTCTTCAGACTCAGCTACCAAAGACGCCATCTTTAAATACATATTTGCGGGTCACATGGGTGTCACATGATGATGCAGGTGAAGTCTGAGGTGTCTCAAGAAAAATAAGTGCAATTTCAACAGATCTGTGTGTTTTACAGACGTGAATGTGAACTGTGAGAGCAACTTGTTGGGTTTGCGGAACTCCAGATTTCTACTGAATCAGCAGGAGTGGGACAGTGTAAAATGTCATCATGTTTCATGTTTCATGTCATGAAAATCAATTCAATGTGACAGATGTCTCGATGAGGCTGATAATTTACGTTGAAGTACAACATGAAGTTCTTAACTAACAATCTGCTGCTTTGTGTTTCAGCTCAACCAGTTATGGCCAAACAACAGAAAATACATTTGAGAGCCTTCGAGGGCGAGAGCATGGTCCTGACCTGCCGCCCTCCGCAGAGCTCAGATCCTCCGCTCATCCACTGGATGGACAAGAGTGAGTCTGTCTTTCATTTTGTGTCTTCTGTCCAGTTAATTAGCTGACAGTCTGTGCGACAAACAGACCAACAGACCAACAGAGACTGTGTCTCTGGTAGTGGTCCAGTCTGTCTGTCTGCCTCTGTAAGTCTCTGAAATCTGAGCAGCTTTGTAGGATTTTGTTTGCATCTCTGGCTCCAGCTGAGGCCCCTGTTGGAGGGATTTGCATGGCTATGCTGCATTGCAGACCGTTTCCACTCAAACTAATGAATGCAGTACTGTCAGCTGATGTTTGTGGGCTCTTTATATTTCTCATTTTTCTTCCTTTTCTTGACCTCCCTTCTCTCTCCGCCTGTGTGATGAAGTAGTGCCTTTTAAGTTGTCCGTCTAGTGTAAGTCAATACTGCAGCACACTAAAGAGCCTTCCTGTTTTCAACTGAAACAGCCTTCACGGTTTCTTTCCCCCTCCTTCCTGCACTTTGTTTTAACCGTCCCGGCTCTGTCGTCTTGTTTTCCTCAGAGATGGTGCACATCAAGCAGAGTGAGAGAGTGATGGTCGGCCAGGATGGGAACTTGTACTTTTCTGATCTTCTAAAGAGCGACACCAGAGACGACTACACCTGCAACGCCCAGTATACAGCAGCCAGGACCGTCCTCCCTGACACTCCCATCAGGCTCACTGTCATGCCCAGTGAGTACACACACACACACACACACACACATTGCAAACCCATAAACAAACAGATAAAGGAAATACTGAAAGTAAGCAAACCCCAACATGAGGCGGATTAATGACCAAACTAATCACGTTGTGAAACCAGTTACATTCATACAGTCTTTTGTCAAAATAATCTTACAATGTTGATAAAAAAAAAAAGTATTTACATTCCAGGGTGAAAGTCCAGGGTTTGTTGGACCTATCCACACTCCCTCTCACCTGCTCAATAGGGACCATCCAGCTTGTAATATTACCATATTGAAAGGTGTCTTTGTGCACCAGTATCTAACACAGACATCCACTGACATAACACCGGTATTTGACTGACAATGTTGGTTGGAGGCTGCTGCGTCAACAACTGCTGCCGCCAGATGCATATTATACAACCACAGAAGGTGCCTTTGTGGGTCGGTATCTAACACTCAGATCATTGACAAAGCAACGGTATTTGATGAGTTCAGAACACGCTGTGAGGCACATGTTAAAAACAGTGTGAGCAGTGTGAACATTACCAATAATTTAACTCAATAGCGCCTTTTATAAGAACCTTCCTGCCTCCTAAAGTCAGCTTTATACTTCTGCGCTGAATCTACGCTGTACCCTGCGCCGTAGCCTGACATGCACCTCTCCAGAAATTTAACTACATGTTGCAGTGACACAGACCTCCTGTTTGTCTCTGTAAGCTGAAACCATTTCCCACAGTGGAAACAAAGCTTGTATTTACTTTAATTTCACAAATAAGAAACAATAAATTGTGAAGACAATAAAGCCTCCACAAAAAATCATTTTAAGTTTTGTGTGTGATTTATCCTGGCTTCATATGAGCTGAGGAAATCTCCGCTAGTCACAAGGCTAATTTATACAATGTAAAATGCCATAGGCTTGCGCTAATAACGTTAGCATGTTGTATTTGTTTGGAAAACGTGTTTAGTGTAAGACAGTTGTTTTGTCAGTGAACCTTGTGATTTGTAATGGAGCCGAATTTTGTAACGTTACCTTTGTTAAATGTTGCTGTTGTTCCTGGTTTTATATGAGAAGAGGAAAAGAAAGCTAGAAGCTAGGCTAATTTAAAAAATGTAAAATGCCATAGACTTGTGCTAATAAAGTTAGCATGTTGTATTTGTGGGGAAAATGTGTCCAGATAAAGACAAGTGTTTGTCTGAGAATGCTGCGAGTTATAGTGAAGCTGATTTGTGTTTGACATTGTCTCTATTAAGCCATGTTTAATGTGTGTTTAATGTGTTTTAGGTGTGTCGTAAATCAACTAAACTTTATAGCACTTCACAGAAACCCCGCCGCCATCTAGTGTTTTGGAGGTGTAACTGCAGAGTGACACAAACACACCGTCACATTATAAATGCTCACAACAGCGTAGGCTCTGCAAAGAGCTGACATACAAGTATAAATTCAACTTTAATGTTGAACACCTCCAGTTTATAACAAAGGCTTTTTGTTAACAATCTCTTGAGCCTGAGATAACTCTGATGACATCATCATACAATTCCTCAATTCTGCACACTAATAGAGTACACCTGACTAAAACTAATGTAGTTTTACTGGCCCTCATTTAACAATCTAACGTTAATAAATGTGGCAGCTGAAAACAATCTTCATTAACATGTACTGCCCCAATAAATCCTGGGTTCAGAGGCCTCGCCTCTGAATTTAGAGAGATGTAATACAGCCAATGAGGAATTTCTCTAAGCTAGAGTGTAAATGCTGACATCGCAGATCCATTTTAACCAACTGGTTCCATCTTGCAGCCTGCAAAGTTTCATCAAAGTAAGTCAGAACAACACAGTATGGAAAGAAATCTATGCATCGAAAATGTATGCATCGATGGGCTGCCCGAGGTCTGCTTCTATTTCGGGCAGCAGAGGAGACACTGACATGTGTCTGAGTCGGACACCAGTAATAATGTATTCACCTGGGCTACTAGTATTAAAATAATGACACTGTAGCAGGGTTCATTGATTTCTTTTTAATGATGTTTTAATGATAAATGATATAAACAAGCTCTGGTTTGGTTGTTTTTAAAACAAATGAAAGTGTCAGATAGAGCCGGCACTGGTGGTGTTCATCCTTCAGTCAGTCCCACAGAGACAGAAAGCTGTGATAGAGAGCACGCGTCCATGTGGCGACTTTACATTTGAAGTGATTAATATGTGGCTGCAAACACTCAGACGCCAGTCAGATTATGATCTGATAATAATTCTCCACCTCAGTCAGATTTACTGCTGCACCATAAGTCCACGCTGACTCAGACTGAGCTGAGACCTGACGTGAGATTTGATCGAAGCCTCCGCTAACGTCCACACTGATAAATGAACGTTCGCCTCCACCTCCTCTGTATGTGTGTGTGTGTGTGTGTGTGTGTGTGTGTAATGCAATAAAGGAACACTCTATCTAAAATCAGTGATACAGGAATTTATGAAAATATAACATCTTACAAAACTCAAGAGCAAGGATGAAAAATGACTTCCACTTACTCTGACTACATTACAGTGCAGTGTGTATTGATTTAAATGTCTCTTCTCTCTCTTCAGGTAATGATGTCAGTCAGGTCAGAGTTCCCCGCCTCTTCCGTCCCACCGGCACCCACACCACCATCATGGCCCTCAGGGAGAACAGCGTCACCCTCGAATGTATCCCCACAGGCCTGTAAGGAGCTCAGTGTGTGTTTGTCTGGGTGAAAGTGTGTGTGTGTGTCTGTCATTCCATCTTCAGCATAAACTTCTTCATTCATCAGCAGCTTTTCTTCACAGCAGTAACATGTGAGCTGTTAAAGTGATGAAGGAAATATCACTTCAGCAGTCTTCCTCTGCAGAGATGTACAGTACAGACTACAGATCGACTGATTTGTCTGTTTGGCCGACTTATTGGCTACCATAGAATGTTTAACAAACTATCATTATTGGCAGCACTTGCCTCCGATAGTGGCCAATGGCTGCGCAGCCTTCACCAGTCACATGACGACGTACATCACCAGCTGGAGCTGAAGAGGGGAGGGTTGAGAAAACATCTCCTTTCTGCTGTGTGACTGTGTCCAACATGTGTTTAAATGTTTCTGTGCTGCAGCGCTTATAACGCTAAAGCGAAAGTCCACGACTGAATGTTACCACTTCCTGTTGCAAAATTATAAAACTTTGACTTTGAGGAAAAATAAATGCTCAAAAAATAAAAATCACTCCCATCTGGATTTTTACTGTACGTTTGATGTTCAGTTCCAGATTAAAATATTTACTTTAGTTATTTATTGCTTTGACTCAGATGTTCAGTTCAGTTCAATTATGAGACTTTATTTTATCAATCAATCAATCAAACTTTATTTATATAGCACATTTTCATACAGTAAATTTTAACACAAAGTGCTTCACAGAATAAAAACACGAGACGCACCCCGGGGTGAGGTGCAAGGACCTGAGAGAACCGAGGAAACGCCATCAGTGAGGAAACACTGGAGGTAAAATATCAGTAAAAAACCCTAAAAATTAAAGTGTTAAAATAAATAGATAGAATAAGAATAAATAGAAATAGCAATAAAATATATATAAATAGAAATAAAAATAAATAAATAAATATATATAAAATACATAAATAAAAGTATATAGATAAATAGAAATAAATTGCCAAATAGATAACTTTAGAAGCATATAAGATATATGACTAAAAGTTATCAATAAGAAATAAATAAAGGATTTAAAATATATGACAATGATAAAATGTCTAAAAAAGTTCAATGAATAGATGAGAAATAAGTAAATAAATAAGAATAAGTAGATCAGTAAAAATCAACTAAAAGCCAAACTAAAAAGGCAGGTCTTGAGTTTGCCTTTAAAAATATCCACACTCTCTGCTGCCCTCAGGTCAGCTGACAGGCTGTTCCACAGACGTGGGCTGTAATAAGAAAAGGACGCCTCACCGTGGGTTTTGGTTCTAACTTCTGGAATAATTAACAGTCTACTACCAGAGGACCTGAGGGTCCAAGAGGGCTGATAGGTTAAAAGCAAATCTGATAAATAAGAAGGACCAAGACCATTAAGAACTTTAAAAACTAATAAAAAAATCTTAAAATAAATTCTGAAGCTAACAGGAAGCCAATGCAGAGACTCTAGGATGGGAGTAATGTGTGCTCTCTTTCTGGTCCTTGTCAGAACTCAAGCGGCTGCATTTTGAACTTGTTGTAATGGTTATTTTATTTATTTATTTATTTATTTATTTTTGGAAGGAGGTTGATTTAAAAAAAACAGGTTGATATTTGATTTGCAGGTTCGTATCTTAAATGTTTAAATCTATTGATTAGATGTATAAGATGGCGGCGCGCATAGTCGCAGTGACCCTGCTTTGCTTTTACTGACTATTTATCACATATCTTAAAAACATAGGTATGATTGTGTGTGTGTGTGTGTGTGTGTGTGTGATGATGAGAATGATGTGATGAGCGAGTGTGTGTTGGTGCATGTGTTCACATTTATATGCTGCAAACTGGATTGGTCCAACACCAAGTTTGGTTGTAGAACTTACAGTGACAATGAAGGCTCTATCTGTCTGTCTGACACCAGGTGAGCGTCTAATACTGGATCTCCAAGGTCCTTCATGACACACACACACACACACACACACACACACACAAAGGTTTCAAACTAATCCTGTTAAATAATTTTCTCTCTCTTCTGTTTCTTTGTGTTCACTCTAATTATCCTCCTTCCCCTGGGAGTTCCGTTTCCACGGCGATAAATGGAGTCATTATAATCTTGCCTTTACGATGAAATAGGATATTACATCATTAAAAAGATCATCTGTGTTCATTCAGCTCTCATTTCCTCCATATCTGTCTGAATCGATCCATCTCCGTCCATCGCCCTTCCCTCTGTGATCAGTCCAGTCTCACAGTCACGTCTCTCTCTTTTCTCTCTTCCTCTTTTCGTGCTCCTGTCTCTGTGTGCAGACCCACTCCGGTGGTCAAATGGAAAAAGAAGGACGGTCACATGCATGAAACGAGCGGGAAACTGGAGGCCCATGACCGCTGGCTTCACTTCGAGAGCATCACCCAGAATGACGACGGGGAGTACGAGTGCACAGCCTCCAACAATGTAGGCTCCGTGTCACACGCCTTCACTCTCACTGTGGAAGGTAGGAACACACCTGCTGCTGTGTGGACAAGTCACGGCCGTGTCAGTTTTCAGGCTGTGCTTGATGGCAGAGAACAGGAAGAGGCTGCTGCGAGCTGTCGGTCCATGAGAAGCCCTCACTTTGAACACAGCACAATGACTTTTGACTGCTTAAAAAGTCTGTTGTCACAGGAAGCTGCAAAAGTGATGGGAAATATTTTCTTTATTTAAGTAACTATCATCGTTAAAGAAATTTAGCGTTGAATTTTTATTAACTGGAGGAAACCCAAGAGACTGTTTTTTTTTTTTTTTTTTACAAATGATAAAAAAAATTGAGTCATGAGAAGAGGAGATGTCTTGGCTTTTTTCTTAAGTCAACCTGGTCTCACGCCGAAGTCGTCGAAAACCGCCGCTTGGGCAGTGACTTCCGGTGTTAGACAATGACCAAAAAAAGCTGTCCTTCCACGTCAGCATGATACGTAGCCAGTCGCTATTATCGCTCCATCAACTGATGGATCAGCTGATTGATGGAAGGGAGTCAGCTGACAGATCACATGATTCCTTTTATATGCAACCATTTGGCAGATCTCATTCAGGGCGCCTCTTTACAACCTGCCTCCGCCCCAGCTCCTCCTTTTCACGCTGTGTCTGACTTATCAACTGACCTATGGCTAAGCCACGCCCCCTTCACTCACTCGGACAAACTATCAACATTCAGTGAGCGGCGCTATGGCAGGTGTCACAGTACACGGCATTTCACAGGAGGCAACTGATGATTTTTGGAGACATAACGATCAGATGTCATTGAGAAGTAACCAAAAGGGCCTAAACTACGCATTGGAGGGATATATTCATCATTTTATTGTTGAGAAGGTCGATGAAAAGCTTAAATTACAAGCCAAAATTTACAGGTCACAGTGTACGCTTGTGAACCGCATCTGGTTGCCGTCACCATCAAAGACAACAAGTTAAAGTGCCACTGAAGTTAAGGTTTTTGGCTCAGAATATGAGAAAAGGATAACGGCCTTTTTACCATCTTTACCAAGAGTGTCTCTCCGTTAGTTTGGTGCTACAGTATTTACACTGAATCATTCAGCATAACGTTTGCCAACCTTTGTTATCTCTGCCATTACAGATAAGTTAATGAAGCTAAGCTCCAGAAGTTAACGTTAGCTTAACTAGAGCCCTTTGGACAACAGCTAACAATGATGTACGATCACCAAAGTACAAAACTAGAACAAAATAGGCTAATGAACTCCCAGCAAACAAGGTGACATGATGAACAACGCAGCTAGGAGCTAACGTTAGGCTAACTTTAGCTAACGTTAGCTAGAGATGTTAAAGATAACTTTATATTTCTTTCCAGCAAAGTGACAATATGTTGCCTCAAACACAATGTTGACTTACCTTAGAACAGATGTAGACATCATTGTTAATCTTATTCACGTTGAGTTGATGTTGTGGTCTAACGTTACCACACAACTTTATCCAAAGGAGACACTTTTCTCG